TATCTACTCAAGGGGGACTATACTAAGGGGGACTATACTCCCCATAAGCTCCAGAGGTGCTCTGCATCTCCGTCCCAGAGCTCCAAAACCTTCTCGGCGAAGACCTGGGCCGAGTGTTGGAGACTGGCCTTGTGCTGAAGGCCATGCAGGCGCTGGAGGGGAACAGGGGAGCAGGGAGCGAGTTTATTAAGGGCTTCGGGGGGGGGGGGGGGGNNTGGGGTTTAGGGTTTTATTCGGGGTAAGGTTTTGGGGGTTGAGGGTTTACACCCCCCAATCCTTCGGGCTTTGAGGTTTGGGCTGGAATTTTTGGGTTTAGCCCTTCTACCCTAAAGCCCTCATGCTCCATCCCATCCAGGAGAGTGCAGTGCTCTCCCAGTTTTCCTCTGGGCAGCGCAGCGAAATTTCCAAGTCGGTCACAGTGCGGACTTACGCAGCCGGGGCGAAGGCTTGGGAGGTCATAATATATCATAACATACCATAATTTACTAGAATAACAATACGTAATATATCACAATATACCATAATTACTATAATAATAATAATACTAAAAATAACAAGAATATATTATAACATACCATAAGTACTATAATATACCATAATATACTATACTAGACTATACCATAATAGAATATGATACCATTAATGTGTTGGATTCAGGTTTTAGGGCTTGGAATGGAGGGCTGAGGGAGGAGCTTTGGGCTTGGGAGTTTGGATTTATAAGGGCTCATAGGGATTCGAGGCTTCATGCGGTTGTTGGAGGATGTAAATGTGAAGGTTCTTGTTCAGTCTAGGGTTTGGGGTCTAAGGATGCAACTTCTTGTTGATGTGGAGAGTATATGATAGTTTCCGGAATCTGGGTGCCACAACAGGTATATGCAAAACAAGTTGGGAGCCCGGCCGACCGATGAAGCCGTTTTTGTGATCGTTGTCCGACCGTGTATTTGGCCAACTTCCGCAGCTTCACTTGCAACTGCAACGGGGGGCCCTGCAAACGGGGGGCCCGGAACCCAAATCTATCAGCCAGACGAGGACAGAAGGGGTTTTCCTCCATCACTGTTGACTTGAAGGCTTGAGTTTCTTCTAGTTCTTGGTGTAGTTGTCGTGCAACCTGACCAGGAATGTCATTACAAAGGAGCAAGTACCCCGTGACACTCTTAAACCCCAAACTTCCGGGCTTTGGAACTTGTCTCCGGGCCCCTGTAGGGGCCTACAAGGTCTGATGTTGAGGGATCTCTCCTATTCAGGTCAGCTCGCCCATCTGAAGCCCTAAGCTCAACACCCTCAAGTAAACTGTAGGAAGCCCTAAACCCCAAAGCCTCTCCAGAACTGTCTTTAGACAGGTGGAAGACCATGCGGGTTTCCTGGTGGTCCTCAAAGGCCTGCCGGGGCCAAGATCAGCCCCAAAGAGCCCCAATGCCTCAAGAGTGGGCAATCTACCCCAGGTCCCCCTACATTACAGTTGGGATTTGTCCAGATTATGATGCTTTTGTGGGCTTCTAGTCGAAGACGCCCCCCAATATTTAGGGAACCCAAGCAAGGAGTATACATTGACAACTCCCCACATCCCCTAGGTCCTAGAATGGTTTAATCAGGGCTGCTAGCATTTTGCATCATATGTTTTAAGGGCTGGATTGGGGAATGGATCCTGAGAGCAGCTCATGGAAAAGCCTTCAAAGGGATTCTAAACCAAAAGCTTCGCACATGCTTTGAATGGCAATGTTCACTTCCATTCAAGGGCCACCACTGCTTTCAGAGATTTCTCTAGGAGGTCAAATCAAGAACTTGTTTGTCCCTCAAGGACACCTAATGCTAATTTGGTTGGCTTGGAGGACGATCGGACAAGGGCTGGATACTTCAACAGCTCTCTGGATTATTTCCGGGAGTTCCTTCGAGAACAGCTGTCACAAGTCTTGTTGCTACGAGCCTGGATTTTTTGGAAACCACACGCTCCAGGCTGATTCTGAGTTGGTCGCCCAACATAGTATAGGCTTCGTACCCTGAAAGATACCCTAAACCCTAATCCTTGTATTTTTCCTGAGTTCCATCTACCGCCTGAACGCGAGGCCAACTGAAAGGAAAGTGGCAAGGCCGGGATATGCAGAGCTTGAGTTCCAGCGTTTGGGCTGAGTTGCGGGCTCTACCTGGATGGCTGTGGGCTGTTAGAAGATTGTTATTACGACAAATCTGTTCAGCAAGTTGCAGAAGAATCTTAGCACCCTGCAAAAATCTAGAGATTGGCCGTGGAGATGGAATATGAGCGGTGAGGGAGCAGCCTACGAACTATACGGTAGTTCCCCTCAACAGGGGGACCCCAATAAAGACCTTACATATTCTAGTCCTTATTATAGGGACCCCCAGAAATGAAAAAGGTACTAAAAATTTTGGGGAACTGCCATATGTCAGGGGCTCCCTGAAACTTGTCTTCTACATTTCACCTTACATTCGGTTTCCAGTTGATTCTCCATCCTAGGGGTTACAAAATTCCCGCTGCTGTAATCCCTAGGCTATCCCTACATACCCATATACAACCCCTATATACCCCATGCACTTCACCCCCCTAAAAACCCTCCAGCATCCCCCTGCATTAGATCAGGCAAGCCAACCCCTTTGGAGCAGGGCCAGTGGTTGGAGGCCAGTGGCTCAAGTATTTGGGGTTTATGTTAGGTGGACCCCCCACCCAGTAATAGTGACTAAAAGGGATAATGGGGATTATATTAGGGTCCTCTTCTATTCTTGTTATACCACTATTATAGGGTGGGGGGTCCTAAGGTTTATGGTTTAAGGGTAGTTAAGGGGTTCAGGGTGTAGGAGGTGAGTACTGAAAGACGGCTTCAGGGGTCCGGGCGATTGGGGGCTTATGCACTTGACTAACACTTTCATTATTTGACGGCCCCTGGAAGGGACCTACTTCATCTTCCAGGCGTGGTACTTCAAGCGAACAATTGTTGTAAATGTGGGCTGTACTTGTCGCTGACTGGGGGCCTTCTTTGAGCGCGAAATGGAGACCCACGCCTTTCTTGCCAGTCTGAGCAAGGGCATCATCCTTTTGAAGGCTTTCTGGGTCAACATCAAGGATTGTGTATGCTAGTTGAGATACGTATTCCTGTAGAAGTACATGCAAGTACCGAAAATTATCCCGTATTTTCTTCCTCCGCTAGTCGGGTCGCAGGTGTGGCTGAGCCCGCGCAATCCTAGGTCCCTCTGTATCACCTTTCCCTCTCAGATGCTGGCGTCATACAACATACATGGGGATTTCCCTCATTCATATTATGCAGGGCCCTATAGTCGGGTTCCTAGACGAATACGGATCGGTAAGCTGTGTCCCCCTTGGGAAAGGTAATTTGGGCAATTCAAGTCCCACATACACCATCCCGACCCTATTCAACCCTGTAGCATCTCCTCCAGACAATTGTCATCCGCCGCCACATGTACGGCACATAATTCCTTCATACTTGCCACTTGCCCGGGATTAACGCCTGTGACGGCAGACCCAAGCCATATGTCTGAACCTCAGGCCACGGACTATATGAGCCATAGTCTAAACTCCTTGAAGGGGGGTTATTAAGGGGCTCACTAGCCTATAGCTCCTATACCTTGCAACTGGAACCACCCAAAATGGCAAAAACCAGTATCAGTTGGAAAGGGTGTTTTACGGGGGTTCCATGTCAGTTCGGGCAGGGGCCTCTCTGTTGGGGAAACGCTTTGCAAGGACAGCGCGCTGCTGGAACGCTCAGAACTGCGGAGCGACCTCCAGGCCACTTTTTCTGCAGGGGGCAGGGAGGAAACCCAAGAAAAAATGACATGGAAATCAGGGGCTTACTGAGTTTCATGTATCCTGGCAAAAGGAATCCATCAGATCATGAAAGTTTCAGGCTTTTTGACTCCGCTCTCTGAATCCCTTCAGTAGCAACCTTGTAGAGGTTTATGTGCCAGAAACCAGTGACATATGCTATAGTATTGGACCTTGGGTACTTGGACCAGTCCCTAATCACTAATCCCAAAACCCTAATCCTTAATCCCTAAACCCTAATCACTAATCCCTAAGCCCTGAGCCGTGCTTAGTGTAAATCAGCCAAGGAGATGGCGGCCGGGCCGGATGGCGCACGAGTCGCATCTCTTAGCAAGGCGGCGGTTCTTCACGTCAAGGGTTATGAGGAAGGATCCCTACAAGCGGCGAGTACATCACCTCAGGTACCCCATATGTAGTGCTTTGTACCAATGCATTCTTGCTCGGCAAGTACGAAAGAAGGGTCTGGAGTATACTCATGAAACAGCCTGTGGGGTCTCACGGCCTTCTGCATGCAGGCAAGAGAGAGAGAGAGAGAGAGAGAGAGAGAGTGAAACAGCCTGTGAGCCACATAATGCTCTGCATGAAGACTCTGGCACCATCTAGCCTGATTCCCTAGTTGAGGGGGGTGTTTATCCCTTTAGAGCCTCTATACAAACAATACACACCCGCATTCCAATTTCATGTTCAGTCCGACTTTCCATTTGGGTCCCCACTGCGCATTCAGAACCAAACGGGGTTCAGAGGAAGTGACTCAGGCAGTACGGCTCGTGCAGGTTTCATGCTGGTACTGGGTTTAGGGTATAGAGTACACGGGTTTAGGATTTTGGGTGGCCTCTGACACTACAGCCTGTAGAGGATGGGCCCTTCATAGCAACAGGGGAGTTTTCAATTGCATCCTGGAGTTGCTGTTACTTGGCTACTCATGCCGGAGATCAGCATTTCCATTGTGTCCATGAATCGCTTTGGATCGTCCCAATTTGAAGGAATGGATGTTTGGGGCATGATCATGGGGTTCGTCCCTCAATAGTCAGGCTTATGATGGCTTATGGATAGGCCGAAAGGACAGGGCCAGCAAGCAATCGGCTAGAATGCCGTGAGTGAGCGAATGATCGTAGAGGCTTGTGCCTGTCCCTTCCATGGTTTTCTAGGCTTAAGCTGCGTTTTCCTGAGTCGCTCTACTACTAATTGCCATCATGGGTGGTCTGAACACGATGGGTACTGCAGACCTGTTGAAACATCATGGCTAGTTCTCGTGTCATTGTAATCACTGTTTTCATTGAGGAAACTGATGCTCGCAGCATCAGCGCCTCAACCTCATAATTTGTAGGTGCCTGGATCAAGAGGTATACACCCCCATAGTCCTGCCTAGACATAGCATCATATGTCCAAAACCCATTTTCTAATTTTGAGGCTCCCAATTGAACCCAAGGCTCAGGCCCTGTTTAACGTACACGCCCCACATTCCAATTCAATTTTCCATGCGATTTTCAATGTGACTCTCCATCCTTCTAGGGTTCTACAACACTTGAAAAGGCCGGGCTTTCGACTGCCTTGGAGAATCTGGGTCTGGCTGCGGTAGCTGCGGGCGAGGACTCAGTGTGTTGAACATCTTGGGTACAAAGTTGAAGGGCTTAGGGCCCAAGCTTCTGGGACTTAATACTTATCATGTGTCACCCCAACTGCAGAAGAGGTGCAGAACGGGGACTTGCCAGCAGAACACCATTCCTTGCTGCTTTACGGCAGACTTTGCGGCACTCCATCTGCATTTTACGCGGAGACGTGCTACCCCGAAACAGTCTCAAATTTTGAGGTCCAGCCCCTAGAACACCCTTAACCCCCACACTATGTGCCATGCAGGAGGCATCGGATTTGGCCCGAAAGATGTTGATGGTCAGGACATCTCTTTGCAAGCTGCATCGGGTGGGCTTGTGAAGGATTCCGCATCCCGGATAAGATGCTGAGTTTTATGTTCGATTTGCTGCTCCCGAGTTATGTAAGGACTATAGAGTCAGCGAGGACACCTGGTGAACGGGGCTGTTTGACCCTTGCAAATTCCCACAAGCAATCTGAATATGATGATGCTTTCAGCTGCCGAGAGATGAATCGTATAAACTGAATGATAAGGAACATGAAGTTGCCACACGCGTAGTAGACGGGGTTTCCACCCCAACAACCAAAACAAACAGACATAGTCCTATTACTCCTTACTCATGGTTGTACGTAGTAGCCGGAACCCAAACAATATGTCTCAAGCCCAGTATTTTGGAGGAGCTAGCGCAGAGGTTGGGGTTTTGCATTTGAGGTTTAGAGTTTACAGTTAAGGACAGGTTTAGGGTTCGGGGGTGAACAGGAAGGTGCGAATCTTCCAGCACCTCTCCGGCGAGCAAGTGAGCCACTGGGCACAGGGGAAAGTTTATAGACTTCAGATATACCCTCCGCGCCCTCACATAAAATGCCATCAGGTGGGTTTCATGGTGGGTTTGGGGAGTGCGTGTCCATTTGCGTTGCGGAGACTATTGACCATGTAGGCTCCCCCTGTGAAGGGCAGGCTGTCGTCGCAGCCTCTTTCAGTTTTTTTTTTAAATGCTGGTTTGGTTGAAGTGCCTCGTTGGAAATAAAGTGTCACAAGGCGGCCTACTTTGTGGGTCCTACGTCTTACATGGGGCCCATCTTCACTTGATAACCACCCAAACAACAGGTCGGCTTTCGGAAGCTGTCCTTGTCCTTGTCACTGCTCGTTCTAGAGATTTACCCGCTAATTAGTGCCTTCAAGCCCGTTTGCGTCATCACATTTGAGCATGGATACAAGACCTGGCTAAGATTTGTTTGGCTACCGGCAGATTGCTTTTAGAGGCATCTTCACGCATCTATCTTTCGGGATTGGCCGCAAGTTTCGTTTCCAAGTATGCTCAGGCCCTTTGGAGGCATTCCAAATTGTTTGTCTCATTTTAGCTGGGCCTGGAGCTTGTGATGTTGGCTTCTGGATTGCTCGATCAAGCTTTGTTTAGGGTTTAGGGTTTAGGGGCACCTCAGAACATGCCGAAAGCGTCAGTTGAAATGTACTTAATCCTAGATGCCATGCCAATGACTTCTTCTAACTAGGATCTGCAACAGCCACCTGACAGGCCTATGGAATTCATGTCGGGGATTCTGTGCGTAATTGCTATTCCCTACCCTGCGTATTTCGGTAACCACATGTTCCGCTCTGCATCATACCACGGCACTGCTGAGGCAAATTGGTTCGGTCCTTCGTCCTTCAGCGCCACCGGAAGGGTGCGCAGGCACCGGGGAGCGGGGCAAGAGAAAAGTCTCCAACTGAGAGGCATGGGTAGGGCTGGGGTTTGGGGTTCTTGCAGAAAATCTCAGAACAGGGAATCTGAAAGGGGGAGGGCGAGCCCGACATCAAGATGCATTGTGGCGTAGCATGGTAAGCTAATCTGCTCTGAAGCCTTAACAGCCCGTATGGCGCCATGCCCCCATCTCTATCAGAAAGTTGCCAACATGATCAGCACGTCTCCCCCACAACCCTGCATCTGGAGGACCTGAATGTTGCCCTGGGCAGATTGGTCATGCACAGGCAAACTCGGAATATGTGCATACTATTGTGACTACTTGAATTTCTATCATGATTACTGTCGCTACTATGTACTCCTGCATTCCCCCCATTCGAGCAGCCGGCAATCATGCTTGGGGATGGTTAGTTTTCAAAGCAAATTCCTGCAGGACTGTAAGGGCTACTACTGGATAACGCGTTTTTGTTTAGAGCTAAGCCTTCTCTTTCTGCTCTGAACAGGTGATCAAGCAGGGCGAGGTGGGATCATCCTTTTTCGTGATCGTGAGCGGCGAGGTTGCCATCACCATCAATGACAAGCGGCTGGTCTCACTTGGGGGGCTTGCAGGGAGGTGCGATCCCCATGCCGAACCCGTAGAAATGGTCTGCGACAATCCTCATGACCTGTTGGTGCAGCTCACGCAAGGACCAATACCTCCAAAGGAGACATGTTTAAGATCACTGGGTTTTGGTGACTGCCACATGACACACGACCAGCAAGCGGCCCGAGGTCTGAAACTGAAATTCGGAAAGTGCCCTTCTTATCCTACGCCCTTACCCCATCCCTGCAGAGCCCTGTAGAATCCATGTGGAAGACCCCAAATCCTCCACTGCAGTTAAACCCCCTAAACCCTAAACCCTAAACCCTAAACCCTAATGATCCCTAATCCAATCCTACACTCCCCGAACCGAACACCTAACTAAACTCTACGCCACGATTACCGGAGCTAAGCCCTATAGGCCCCAGATGCTACATTAGGGTTTAGGGTTTAGGGTGAATCCTAACCTCGGCAAACTCTAGGACCAAAATGCTAAGGTTCATCCGCGCCATGTCCAAGAACTCCTACATAGGAGAGAGGGCACTGCTCTTTGATGAGCCACGGACCGCCACGGTGGAGGTGACCTCGAGCGAGGCTGAACCTGGTGCTCATGGCTTGGGCTTTGATTATGGTTTTGGGATTTTAATACCCCAATAATGGAGAATCAACTGGGAAAGAATATGGAAAATGAAATGGAAGCTGGGATTATATACGGGTTATATGGTCAGTCTAGGGTTCAGAGATTTAGTTGAGGTTTGGGGCTGAACCTTCCGGAGTCTTCTCAGCATATGTTTCGATATTGCAAGAAGGAGAAGGTCCCGTGAAATTGTTGGAGATTACCCTATGTATAAAAAGGTGAAGCTGGCTCTGGTCTGGTCTGCCCTGGGGGGTGAAGGGAGTGGGTGCTTTGGGGAAGTGGTGATTTGCAAGCGCCCCTGAGGTTTCGAGTCAGTTCTCTCATGGCAGACAGCACAGGACCCCGATACTTACCCACGCCCGGCAGCATCCAAAAAAGTAGGTGACCAGCTAGGAGCGGGTGGTTAAACTTTCTGGATGCTGTGAAGGAACTCAAGCTAAGTTACCATACTGAGGAACCCCGATTATTGACTATATATCCATATTCACATTATGGTAACAACTCCTGGTATAGGAAAGAGCCCTGCCAGCCTTCTCCTTCCAGTGACTTGTCCATCATTCATTCTTTGGTTCTGAAGGCCGAGTTCTGGTCCATTGAGAAGCACACCTTCACTCAGAGCCTCGGAGAAGTTCTTGAGCTATAGTCTAGACTCCCTAAAGGGGACTATATAAGGGATTGTTACAGGGTTTATCAAGGGGGATACTAGGAGTCAACTCTATAGGCCACTTATGAAAGCCGAGGCAGCTCTTGCAGGGATCCCTATAAGGGGACTTACCTAAACCCCAAAAGTATATAAAATAATAGCCCCAAACCCATAATAACAGCCATAAGGGCCATTATTTTACATACTTTTGGGGTCCAGGTAGGACTAAACGTGCATGTGACTTGCTGACCATCTCGGCCCCAAGCCCAGAGGGCCCAATATACCTTAATCGAAGAATATGCCGTAGATATCCTTTGATGATGCGGCTAGGCTTCCTGATATGTACCATAGTCTAAACTCCTTAAAGGGGGTTTATATAGGGGATTATATATGGGACTACTATAGGGGTTATTTAAGGGGGATACTAGGAGTTTAGACTATAGCTCATATGGTTTATGGCATGTTCCCCAATGAAAGGGGAAGTGGGCTCCCACGGTTCTGCAATCTGCGGGTTAAATTTGTGCGAGCCGGTCCTAATCCCTACATGCCACATTGGGTTTAGGCTTCAGGCTTTATAGGGCTTAGGGGAGTGGAACCATAGCTGGGTGAGCAACAGCGAAGCCCTGAACTTAATCATCAAACCCCAGCCTCTCAAAACCCAGCAAACTCCAGCAGTCTGGAAAGAAGGAGTGGTAAGCAAGAACCATCCTGAAGGAACCCAGCCTCAGGGTCGTAATTCCTGAGTCCCTATGAAACCCTCGCCCCTGAATTGGAATCCTTGAACCATCTGCCGAAAAACCTAAGCCCTGAACCAAAGCAAAGTGATGTTTTTGCCAGAAAAATTGCAAACGTTACCTCCCTGGATTCGTTGCACAATTATGGTTCAGGGTACCTCAAACAAACTCAAAGAGACCTTAGACCACGGCATGACATAGCTAGTCCTTCGGGCCCCTAGAGCAAGCACGCCTAGGATCGTGAAGGGGAAGATGCAAGCGGAGCTGATGCACCGCATTCGACTGCAAGACTCCTCGTTCGGACTGAAGGACGGCACGCTTTGTTTCTTAAGCTTAGGGTTTTGGTGTGTAGGTCGTATGAACCGGGCATGGATTTTGAGCAGTTTCCCAAATATATGGAGAACCCAATATAGACCCCAAGAAACTATCATCCTTATCATGAGGACTCCCCACAAAGGTACCCCTAACTTGTTGGAAGTCCCCATGTCCCTTTCAGCGTAGAGACCTTGATGTTAGCCTGCCTGAGGCTGCTAGAGCCCATATGAAGAGATTGGTCAGGGTGGTTACAGGCATTACATAGGGAGTCAATACGGGGCTATAGGAATTATGTAGGAGGGTTTCTATGAAGAATGATGGGGAGGGAGCTTGATGTCATCATGTATGCTATCATCCGCATCAGGTTATTTAAGCTCGACACCGTTGCAACGATGAGTTCTTCTAGATTATCAGAACTTCTGTCTGTCGCTTGCTATAGGTCTCGCTGACGGTGCAGGGACACCGCCGCACATATGCCCACAAACATGAACTATGAACACACTACGCTTAAACATTGAACAAAAGGGGTTCATACCCTCAACTGCAGACAAGACCCTACACCCCAAGCCTGCACGCCAGGACCTCAGCCAAGTCTCCGTGATCGGGGCTGGCGCAGCTGGCGTGGTGCGTTTGGTGATCAACAAGAGCACCGGCACTAGGCGGGGTTCTCAAACGGGCTCTGCGGATCTTGTGGAGGAGCACAAACTTAGTAGGGAATATGCAAATGTAGTATATAGGGGTTGTGCAGGGATTATATACTCTTGTTCCCTAGGGTTGGGTGTCAGAGTTTTGGTGTCGGAGTTTTGGTACAGGGGCTCACAACTTGGGGCTTGGAAAAAGGTGAGGTGTTTTCAGGTTCACGGACCCTAAACCCTGAACTTCTCTCATTTGTGCTGCTACTTCTTGGCAGACCAAAGAGACCTCCGGTCTACGCCTAACATGCTCACGCAGAAGAATCCTGTAATGCTGGATTGTGTGGTTTGGGGTTTAGGGTTTCGAGATGCTAGACAAAAAACTTTGTGACTGTGAGCAGGTTCGTGCTAAACGAAGTGAGAGGTTCATAGGATGACGCACCTCCCTGCCAATGAACAATTATCCAGCTGTTGAGTTCTTTTTTAGCGAATTACGGGAGCAATGAGATCCAGACTGATGGCGGTAGGAGGAACGACCGCTTGCAGGTACGCGCTCAAGCGCATTCGAAAGCAGGGTGGCAAGGTCCCTGAAGAGGCACTTGCCCAGTTGCCAGGTGCTAGTTAGGGTTTAGGTTTGGGGGTTTGAGGCTTAGGTGTTTAGCCAGGTGCTATACTGTAGGGTTTCGGGACGTTTAGGTTGTTTCACTTGAACTGTTGGCAGAAATATTCCCACAGTGGCATACGCTGATATCGGTTTCCGGGGGTGGGTTCAATATTACGGACGACAGGGGACTATTACTGGTCTCAGTTTGCTGCAGTCAAAGGAATATGGTAGTTTCCATAAACAAGGGAACCCCAATATAGACCCCATCATTTTCTTATCCTTATTATTATATGGGGAACCCCCAGACGTCCTCAAAGTCCTGCTGCATGCTAGGATCCTATTTCTTCGGTTTACATGATTCTTAAACCCTAAATCGTAGTTTCCATTTTTTGATTAGCCTTTTATACTCCTACATTATGCCCCTATGAAATCAAAGACTGGCATGAGACCTACCGATTACGCTAACAGGCCCCAAGTAACCTTGAGGCGGGGACCAATGTCCTGTTCCTGAAGCCTGAGGACACAAAAGATATGGTGGCTACAAAGTCTTTTTGCACTGTAGTGGGTTGCACTTGTACTGAGGCGCAGACTGCACCATGCGCGTTTGAAACAAGGGTGTTTCTGAAAGTTAGGGTCCCTGCGCCTTCCATGAGCCCGACAAGCAGGCTATACACCATTCAAGCTCTTAGTCAAGAAGCTTCAATGCTTTACCCCCCCACCCCCCCATCTTAAACTCGAAAGCTGGGTTTGCATGGTAGATCCGCAATTGCAGGATCTTGCTGTCCGAAGCAGTCTCAAAATCCAGGAGCAGCCCGGAGAAGGCTCCCATGAAACCAACCCACGTGAGATAAGCAGCAATCAAGTCTATAGATTAGTTGACCCTGAAGCCGAAGCTGAAACCCTAAACCCTAAACCCTGAAACCTAAACCCTAAATCCTAAACCCTAAACTGTAAACCCCAAATGGAGGTAAACCGCGAATGTGGACTTCTGAAGGGTCTTGATCACCCGTGCCTGGGTTCTCACAGGTTAAGGTTTAGGTCTGGGAGACCCTTTGGTTTTTTTGGGCAGCGGGGGTTAGGGTTTCGAGTTTAGGGTTCCGGGATTAGTGTTCAGGGTTTAGGGATTAGGGTTTAGAGTTGAGGGATTGGACTTTGGTGTCTTTCTTTCTGAGGGGATGGACTTGTGACTCGGCTGTTGTGCCTCAACTTTGTGGTGGGAGGTCGCTTTCAGGAAAATACCGATGAGAGCGTATGCTCCAGCTGAAGTTTGGGCTTCATTATGAAAATCCAACGTTGCTCCAAAATCATTCCTGGATAAATTCTTGCGGTTCTCACTCAAAGCATCAGGACTGCATTTTTGGAAGGTTTGGATCGCGAGTAGGGGCCCGATCCCATTTCCAGATCTGAGCTATGTCTGGGTTGCTGCAGACTTAGATTCAGCTACTATAGCATTTTTACATATACTTGTAAAGGGTATGGTTCCAATAACGGTAACTTATCTTAAGCTCCTTAACGGCAACCCAGATTTAGGCGCAGATGCAGGCGATAAAGTACTCAGACCCTGTAGGGGGCGGCTTTGTCATGTAATGCACGTGTGCATGTTAGGACAAGCAGCAGCTGGAGCGCGCGTGTGTTTAATTGTTTGCGTGTGTAGCCGCTACAGTTCGAGAACGAAAGGTGCAGGAAAGGGGTTTGCCTCGAAAGCCAGAACTTGCGTCAGTTGGTTTGCCGCAGTGTCAACGAGTGCATCCTGTCCAAACCAGTGATGGTGCATAATCCCAGAACCAAGATTGCGCACAAGCCTAGTACTGATGAAGGCGTGTTGGATAGTTCTCATTGGGTCACTGAGTGCGGCAACTGGCGGTACGGTGTGTCTAGGTGTGTGCGAAACGCAGTGCTGCTACCAGGTTTTCAAACTTGCTTCGGAAGTTCCCAGGGTGCCAACGCCAAGTCAGCGAGTGTGATCTCTGAGGAATCAGCCTCTGATAGTTCAGATTGCAGCGGATGAGAGGGATGGGTGAGGGACGTACGTCCTACCCGTCCCTTGAGTGAACTAAAGCAGGTCTGCGAGTCTGCGTGTTTTATTAGCAAAAGGGGTGGTCGTACGACCAGCTGTTTCGCCTGTCAGCAACTGCTTGACTTGTTTGTTCTGTTTGGCTGCTGTGTGGTGGAGCAAGTGTGATTATTCCCTCACTGGAGGTCTTGCGTGTGAGTGGTGGAGCGTTGGTATGTTTTCACTTGTTGATTATTCTGTGTGGGAAAGTGCTGCGTCTGTTTGATGCGTTGATTCTGAGTCGCAGGAAGCTGTTGCAATGCGCAGTGTGATTGAATGCATGTGAGATATTGCTGAGAGTTGCGCGTGCATGGTTGCTAGTCGCATGTTTGGCCCTTAGCTGAGTTTGAGGGCCATAGCTTTCTGCCTAGTTGCGTAGCTGTGATAACCGTCAGGATCCTGGCAATGTCGCCGAGCAACCCGCCAAAGCTACCTGACCTTGCGCGCTTGGCTCAGGAGTCCGGCCTGGACAAGAATGTGGTGATGTTCCTCAAGGACACGGGCGTCAACACCTCCGGTGTCTTGTACCACCTCTTCTCGAAGAGGGAGCGCATTGCAAAGACATTGCAACCGCTTGAGACAGGGGTGACCATGCAAGGGCGAAGCATCAAGTTGGATGTGGCGGCCATGGGGGGTCGCAGTCGCAGTGCTCGAGCATATGGTGGACCAGATCGAGCTTGCCCGTAATGCGCAGTTCGCGTCCGTGTCAGCAGTGCCTGCGCCAACCACTGCAATTGCGCCTTCCACGTCGACCACAGATGAACAAAAGGCCCCCAAGACACTGCCGAAAGGCTACTGGGCTACTGTGATACAAGAATACGAGAAGGAGATGGTGGCAGGTGTGAACAGGAGCTTCCCATCGCATCAATTGGTTGGCGCCGAGGAA